TTTTCTCTTACAATTGATTATTAGGTCAAGCAAGATAGAGTGATAAACTAACACCAGCCCAGGAGCAGGATGTTAATGGCACCAGGGTGTGACTAAGAGGTCCAGGGGTGGGGGGTTTAGATTTTAGGCAGGCAGGTCTCCACCTGGATCCATCCATTGCTATGACTAGCAAGCAAGGTGGAGTCAGAACCCTTCAGAAGACAATGTGCCTGCCTCTGCTGGAAGAGAAAAGCCGTGGCAAAAGGGCAGGTTTGGAGAAAGTGGTTGAGCTTGGGCACGGTACATGCATTGTGCAATTGTGTAGACTGTAGTATTTCTCACCCTAAGACGCCTCTGGGTCTGTAGCAGCTGAACTTGCACCATGACACTCTCTGTGTTTGCCAGGACATAGAGAATGGTGCAGTCCTTAAGCACGTGTTCATGTTACCGTGGGGAGAGGCCGATGTACTGCGTGTGCCTCTGTGTATGCTGCTGCACTGGGGTGAATGGGGAACGCCTTACAAATGAAAGAGGAACTGAGTTGGCCACTCAAAAGTGGCAGGGGCTAGAGGCATTGGAGAGCCAGTGGGAAGGACTGGAGGTATTATATAGAAGCCAGAGATTTAGATCCTACCCCAAAGGTAAATACTGTATCCAGATAATATTATCATCATCCCCTCCCTTAGTCATTGAATAGGATTATGAAGGTAAAGGTCCAGCCTCCATAGCTCCCAGCAGGAGAAATGGATGCTGAGCATTCCACATTTCCCATCCTCTGCAAAACCCTCTCAGAACAGCATCTCATGGGCGGGGAAGTCTGGAATATGTCTCTCTTCCTTCCTGGATCGTTTTCCAGTTGCAGGTTACAGAAACAGCAGAATGCCATGCAGAAAGAAGCCCTGTTCCCCTCTCCCTCACCTGCCTTCACTCTCCCACACATGGTTCTCTCCAGGCCTCGCTTATTTGTCTCCCTGACTCTTTAAATATATGCTACAGACACACAAATGAAGGAAGGGATTCGAGTGATTATTACAGAAGTAGGAGAGGGAGGCACCCAAATTTCAGATTTTTTTTTTTCCTTCAAGACAGGGTCTCACTGTGTCACCCAGGCTAGAGTGCAGTGGAGCTATCAAAGTGGAGCAATCATGGCTCACCTCAGCCTCAACCTCCAACCTCCCGGGCTCAAGCAATCCTCTGGTCTCAGCCTCCTAAGTTTCTCAGACTACAGGCGCACACCTCTATGCCCAGCTAATTTTTGTACTTTTTTTTTTTTCGTAGAGACGAGGTTTTACCATGTTGCCCGGGCTGGTCTCGAACTCCTGGGCTCAGGCAATCCACTCACCTTGGCCTTCCAAAGTGCTGGGATTAGAGATGAGCCACCGCGCTTAATTCCAAATTCCAGATTTTAAAAACGCTTCCAGTCCCTAGAAGTGAGCCCATGCTGTGTGGGTGCCAGTCTCCCACGCCCTCTGCTGGCCACATGGAGATATTGACCTGTTTGTCAAACAGGTTCCAGTGCTGACTGTTGAGTTTTTTTTGCTGTTCACGTGCAGAACAATCTTCACCAGGAAGTCCTCCTGGGTATCCTGCCTAGATCCCTTCTGCAACCTCAGTTCATTTTCTCTTGATGAAATAGCTCAAGAGTAGCCAGTCTACTTGTTCCTTCTTGTTTTATCTGAAACTTAAACCCTTCCAAAATTGAAAGCCTGTTTATGACTCAGCCACAGAGCAGCTGAGTCGGGCTAGCTGCTTCTGGCACGTAGCTCCGGTCTTACTTTCCAGCCCTTTAATCTCCGTGGCTCTGCCCTGGCTCCCCTCCAAGTTTCCACTGTCTCTCTGGAGCCTACAGGTGACCACAAGACCCTGATTAGTATCTTCGACCCTGGACTCTGCTGCTGCCTAAGGTATAGGTCCCATGGGGTTAAGTGGCACCAGAAACTGGGAGGCACAACAAAATGTTAAGCCTGCTCTTCAGAAGCAGCCAAAAAGCTTGCAAGCTGGGGAAGGTGTGCCCTCAGGAGACTCGCCTTGAGGAGGCTGGGAAAAGGAGAGAGTTTGCAAAAGCGTTCTTAGTTCCTTAAATGAAGAGAGATACCAGAATCTACATGTTGTATGCTAGCATCATGGTTGCTTGGCCCCGGGGCAGTACTTGAACACTTTCAAAGAAAAGAGTAACAGAGGTCAAAATAAATTTACCCCAAGGTTTGTCAAACCATTGTCAACAGCCCCATCCCTCTCCCAGAAAGGGTGACTCAAGGTTAAGGACAGCCCACAGCACTTAGAAAAAGTCCCAAAATGGGAAGGGTCTTGAGAAGAGCTGTTGAGGGAAGGCTGTGGGCCACCATGCTTCTGTGTCCACCAAGGCCAAAGAGAGAGAGTAAGCTGAAATGACAGCTGGAGAAGGGCACCCTCTGACCAAATGGACAGAGCCTCCCCCAACAGGTAGCCGGAGGAGGATGGAATGGTACCCCCATTTCAGACGTCCTTAAGGACTAGAGAGATAGATGCTTATTTCTGCTTGGACACAGGGGATTGGCTAAATGGCCTACGGGAAGGATTCCAGGAGCTGCTACACCAGCCACAGGAGAGGAGCCAGGTTCCCAGGCTCTCTCCCCTTGAAGAGGTGACAATGTATTGGCTCTCCGGGCCAGGCTGGGGCAGCCCACTGAAGGAGACGCAGAGACGCGTGAGTGCGCTGGTCAGCAGCCAGCCCACTCCCCCACCTGCCCTCACTTTATCGAGTTACAATCTTGTTTGGGGAAGGGGTCCAGGCTTCTCCAATCTGAACACCCCTGCCCCCAGGCATTCAGTAGCCACCATTTCCTGCCTGCCCCTCCCCCCACAGTAGTCAACTACTTTTTGAGGATTAGAATGCTTGGTGATGCTGAGGTTGAGTGGTGCAGCTCCAGTCCCTCAATAAGACGGGTCCGAAAGCCCTTCTGTGCGATGGTTAGCACTCCCTCTCCTTACTCCCTCTTCTCCAAGATCCGAGCCTCCAGGCGAGGCCTGTGTTACTAGATAACGGAACCCCAGCCTTTCAATTTGTACAGAGTCCCCAAACCAGCCTTGCTTCTCCCTCCCTCCTGCCAATCTCACTTGCTCTACAACCAAGAAAAGTCAGTTTACCCCAGAACATGACCCTTTTAACTAATCCCTAAAATCCTGCCTTCCACCTACCAGGGATGTCACCCTATTGATGAGTTGTCACATCAGAGTTTGATAGAGGAGAATCGGGGTGCTGGGACATCAAGGCACAACTGGGAAGAGGGGGTGAGAGGCCAGAAGGGGTGCCAGGAATCTCAGGTTGAATTTTGTTCAGGGAGAGCCCACCCACCACCTTGTTATTTGTTTTCTCCGAGTCATGATCTTCCTCTCCAGTAATTACCTCCCTTCCTTTCCTGTGAATAAATACCCAAAGCAACTCACCACCAGGAATGCTGCGAACGCTTGGAGGCTTCTTTAGGGCAGGGACCTTCTCTGCCAAGGCCTTAAAGATCAAATACCTATTTCATGAGACTTGACAAATCCTGAGCCAAGAGAGAAACAGATGCTTGGCTGCTTCCTGCCACCTGCCATCCTGACCAGGTTAGGCCAGGTGTTCAAATGCCTTTCCTAACTCACACCTGGAACTTGCCCAAGGCTGCAAGCTCAGAAGTCGGGTTCTACACCTGCCCAGAGGCATAAAACAGTGTCTTCTCAAAAAGCTTCTCTTTTCCCCACCCCCACTTCCTTGAATTCTGCCCACTTCTTCTGTTCCCCATCCCAGATGTCTGGCGGTCACTGTTCCTGGGCATCCCAGCGATCATGGAGTGGGTGGAGAACAGAATTTTCTTTCATCTCATTTTGGTTATTTAATATCACTCAAAGCTCTATTTTCTCTTTCCAGTATTTGAAAAAAGAGGGAAGCAATGAAGACAGGGCCCCCCACCTCCACTCACCTCTGCACCTGGTCCCACTGTGGGGCATTGTGGCCACACCCCGCCCGCCTGGAAACAACAGTCTAAAGTTCCCCTACTCTGGTTCCTCTGAGGCTGGGTGAGGTCAAGGAGCTGAGAGGAGAAGGGGACCCAGGGATGGATGCCTATGAGATAAGAATTTAGGGGAAATCTGCGCACCAAGAAAAGGCCAGACGGGTAGAATTAAGGATCAACAAATACATGAACAAAGTCTTACTTCTCTAAAGGTCAAAAGTCAGCTAAGTATAGACTGTCACCAAGCCACTCCTATATATAACTGTCCTGGTCTCAGCCAGCTGTCAGCCTCTCTCAGTCCGGAGCTGAGTAACGTCCCAGCCTCCCAGGCCCCCGAGCACGGCACCAGTTCTGAGCCAGAGCGGGAGCGAGGCCTCTGACTTCTACTTGGCCCCACGCCAGTCCCCTCCGGGCCCACATTTCTGGCTGTCCCCTCCCCTCCCCTCCTCCTGCTGTGTATGAAGGTCCTCGCCACCCTGCTGCTCCAGACCCCAGGACCCCCTACTCCCAGGTTCCCCAGGTCCAAAGAGACCTCGACATCCAGCAGCTCTGAAAGTGCAAAGATCTCACTAACAGGACAGACTTGGCCCTTCTCGTCCACGCCCTGGCTGTGTCATCTTCCTCCGTGGACCCAGATTCCCACGTTCCTACTTCTCAGTCCCACCTCCAGCCATGTCCCATCTACTTGGCCATCCCCCAGCAAGCAAACCGCTCACTACCACCTTCATCCTTGCAGGGGCCACTTTCCTTGCCCTTCCTCCTTCCTGCCCCCAGAAGGTCCACTCTGTCCTCACCCATCCGTCCGTCAGTCTCTCAGTTCTCCTCTGTGAGGTCTCTCTGCCTACACTCTCTGCGTGACTCCAAGCATGCCAGAAACTTCCCGCCACTTCCTGGTTCTTATCCCCCTGCTTTCAGGGTGTGCCCCAGAAGGGCAGAGACACATCTGCTTCAGCCTTTATGACTCCCCTCACCCCAAACTGCCCAGCCCTGGGCTCTGGCCGTGTGCACCTTGGCCCACGGGGGCTGACCCTCCGGTTCCTTCACCTGCAGAGAGAGACTCCCGTGAGCACGAGGAGCCCACCACCTCTGAGATGGCCGAGGAGACCTACTCCCCCAAGATCTTCCGGCCCAAACACACCCGCATCTCCGAGCTGAAGGCTGAAGCAGTGAAGAAGGACCGCAGAAAGAAGCTGACCCAGTCCAAGTTTGTAGGGGGAGCTGAGAACACTGCCCACCCCCGGGTCATCTCTGCACCTGAGATGAGACAGGAGTCTGAGCAGGTACATCTCGTGGATACCCTCATTCCCTCCCGGCTTTTGACCTTTTCCTGCATCTAAATGGACATTCATGGCAGCAGGAGGTGCTTAGGCCAGACCCGGCAGAGGACCTGCAGCCAACCATGATGGCTCAGCTTAGGATGTGGGAGGAGAGTTTCCAGAGCATACACTTGTCAGGGCCAAGGGCTTGTGCTAGTAAGTGGGAATAGTGGCAGTGCTCATTTGAGGAGAGTGTGTGCCAGCTCAGCGGCCATGCACCAGGTACCTGGGCCCTGCAGCTGTGTCCAGTCCAAGGCAGAGACTGAATATTCTCCTAGAGCATCTAGACACGGGCACCTCTGGACATGGTTACTCAGCAGAAGAGAAAAGCTGCAGGGGAGGGGGTGACCTGGAACACAAAAGAGAAAGTATGGCTCTGTACCTGGCCAAAGGCAGGCTTTGTGATCCCAGCGCACGTGACAGGTGACAGGGAGGAAAGAGCTTTGGCAGTAGATGATTAGCACCAAAGGTGGTGACTTTCCTCCCGAGACCCTTCGGCCCCCACCCCCTGGGCCACTCGTCAGCGCAGCTGGGTGGTTTTCCCTTGGTCTCGCCATGCCTCTCACCCTCCTGTCCACACAGGGCCCCTGCCGCAGACACATGGAGGCTTCCCTGCAGGAGCTCAAAGCCAGCCCACGCATGGTGCCCCGTGCCGTGTACCTGCCCAATTGTGACCGCAAAGGATTCTACAAGAGAAAGCAGGTACGTCCCCTGCCCTGAGCTCCCAGGCTCAGATGGCTCCGAAAATGGCACCTGCCAGGAAACTCCACCTTGGGCAAGTGCCTAAGATTTCCACCGTTAACCGCTTACTGTTTCCCGGGCCTCAGATACCCATTCATATACCACGATCATGACTTTCCACATTCCCTACTAGGCTGCAATCCATTCCCTCATTCCCTCTTATGCCGTAATCCACTATGCTTTCCACAGGTCACCTTAGCTAGGTGAATTCATTGCAAGAGGAAACTCTGTAACACTATCGCACAGCACGTATCATTGGTGTACCGCACACTCAGAAGTTTAAGCCGTATTTTCTCTGTGTACCACCTGAAATCAGCTCGCGTCCCTTCACAGCCAGGCTCCCCTTTGGGCAACGGTTCTCAGATTTCCAAGGGCATCTGATCCCTGGAGGGCATGGCTGAAGGCTGGGCCCCACCCCTGTAGTTTCTGATTGGTGGACCTAGGGTGGACTCTGGGGTGGACAGGTGACCCTGATGCTGCTTTAAGGACACCAATAATCTAAATGTATGAGCCAGGCCACACTGGGGCAAATCGTGGCTCTGCCGCTTACTAGCTGTGTCCCCTTACTCATCATTTAATGTCTCTGTGCCTCCACCTTTGTGTAAAATGGAGAATGAGGAGTAAGTGATTGATCTTTGTAAAGCACTTAGAACAGTACCTACTGCATACCAAACGCTGAGTGGTGTCTGGTACAGGATAACACCACAAATGATGCCTCCTCCTGTTATTATTATTGCCATCGTTGTCATTATTGGATCATAACTCTCTTGAGAATCCCTGCAGAGTTTCAGGCTGGGGGGGACTCGAATGGGTAATATTTTAAAAGGGACTGTAAGCCAGGCACAGCGGCTCACGCCTGTAATCCCAGCTACTCCAGAGGCTGAGGCAGGAAGATCACTTGGGCTCAGGAGTTCTAGACCAACCTGGGCAACATAACAAGATCCCATCTCTGAAAAAGAAGGAAAGAAAGGGATTGAAGGAGCTAGCCAAGGGTAGGCTGCCTAAATTCACACTTTTCCCTGGGTCTTTCCATGAAACAGGGACACTAGAAACCCAAGGGTTGGGTCTAGCGCCCTCAACTCTCTGGAGATGAGAGAGTCTTGTCTTGGGGTAGAGAAGAGGCAGGACAGGGAGAAGCAGAGCCCCAGGGTGCGGCGTCCTCACAGCCTGTTGCTCTACTCACCCCAGTGCAAACCTTCCCGTGGCCGCAAGCGTGGCATCTGCTGGTGTGTGGACAAGTACGGAATGAAACTGCCAGGCATGGAGTACGTCGACGGGGACTTTCAGTGCCACACCTTCGACAGCAGCAACGTTGAGTGATGCGTCCCCCCGAAACCCTTCCCTCACCCCCTCCCACCCCCAGCCCCGACTCCAGCCAGCGCCTCCCTCCACCCCAGGACGCCACTCATTTCATCTCATTTAAGGGAAAAATATATATCTATCTATTTGAGGAAACTGAGGACCTCGGAATCTCTAGCAAGGGCTCAACTTCGAAAATGGCAACAACAGAGATGCAAAAAGCTAAAAAGACACCACCCCCCCCTTTAAAATGGTTTTCTTTTTGAGGCAAGTTGGATGAACAGAGAAGGGAAGAGAGGAAGAATGAGAGGAAGAGAAGGGAAGGAAGTGTTTGTGTAGAGGAGAGAGAAAGACGAATAGAGTTAGGAAAAGGAGGACAAGCAGATGGGCAGGAAGGAAAGGCACCGAGACCAGGGAGGGGCCCAACTTTCACATCCAGCCCTGGCCTGGGGTCGGGAGAGGTAGCCGCTAGAAGATGCAGCCCAGGATGTGGCATTCAATGACACTCTTGGGGTTTCCCAGTATGGATTGGTCAGGGGGAGAAAGGAAAAGGCAAAACATGCCAGGGCCTCTCCCGGATCTGTCTCCTCCTCTAGCCAGCAGTATGGACACCTGGACCCCTGAACTTCCTCTCCTCTTACCTGGGCAGACTGTTGTCTCTCCCCAGATTTATAAAAACAAAAATGCATTCCATTCCTCTGAAAGCAAAACAACTTCATAATTGAGCGATATTAGATAGAGAGGTTTTCGGAAGCAGATCTATGAATATGAAATTCGTGTGCATATTTCATTCCCCAGGCAGACTTTTTTAGAAATCAATATATGCCCCAAAATTGGAAAGACTTGTTCTTCCAGGGTGACTACAGTACATGCCGATGCGTGCGGTTTCAGCCCTCATTTAATTCAATTTACAAGTAGCACAGCAGCCTCTGTGGGGGAGGATAGGCTGAAAAAAAAAAAGTGGGCTTGTATTTATCTACAAGACTCCATATAGTCATATATAGGCATATAAATCTATTTTTTCTTTGTTTTTTTCTTTCTTCTTTTCTTTCAAAAGTTTGCATTAACTTTTCAAAGTAGTTCCTATAGGGGCATTGAGGAGCTTCCTCATGCTGGGAAAACTGAGAAAACCCATATTCTCCTAATACAACCACCCGTAATAGCATTTTTGCCTGCCTCAAGGCAGAGTTTCCCGTGAGCAATAAACTCAGCTTTTTTGTGGGGCACAGTGCTGGACTTGACAGTGATTCCCCACGTATATTCTTCTGCACCCACCGAGCCAGGCAGAGGCCAGTCCTCCGTGGTGCAAACAGCATGCGCCTCAGTCCATCCCGTTTTAGTCTTTAAACCCTCAGGAAATCACAGTCTCCGGACATCACACCACATGAGCCCAACAGGTCCATGACGGATCCACCCGTCCCGCCCCAGCCTTTTCCTTTCATCTGAACAGAACGTGCATTTTTGGAAGCCTCCCTCACTCTCCACACTGGCAGAGCAGGAGGGAGACTAAAGTAAGAGATGGCAGAGGGAGATGGTGGCAAAAAGGTTTAGATGCAGGAGAACAGTAAGATTGACGGTTCCGGCCAGAGTAGATGTGGGGAGGAACAGAGCGCTGAAGGGACTGTTCCATTCTAGCTTTGGCACAAAGCAGCAGAAAGGGGAAAAAGCCGATAGAAACTTCTTTAGCTTCCCCACCCTGTATGTTTTCTGGGATTCGAGAGGAAAGAGAGGAAAATGGGGGAATGGGTTGCAAAATAGAAATGAACTTAATCCAGGCCACAGAGCCAGGGAAGGTGGGTAACTTTAGGAGGATGCTAGACTTTAGAAGCCAGATAGGAAGAATCAGTCGAAACTGGCCATGCTTTGGAAGGGACAAGACTATGCGCTCCGCTGCCCACCTTCAGCCTGCAAGGAAGCACGGAGGCCCACGAGTCTTTCCGGCTCTTCCTCCATTCTGGCCAGTCCCTGCGTCCTCCCTGGGGTGGAGGGTGGAAGGAGGGCCGGAACAAGCAGGGAACGCATGATTCAGGGATGCTGTCACTCGACAGCCAGATTCCGAACCAAGAAAACTCCCATTCTCCAATGACTTCCTCAACCAGTGGGTGGCCTTGTGACTGTTCTTTAAGGCTGAAGATATCCAGGAAAGGGGGCTTGGACACTGGCCAAGGAGACCCCTTCGTGCTGCGGACACAGCTCTCTTCACTCTTTGCTCATGGCATGACACAGTGGAGACTGCCTCCAACAACGAATTTGGGGCTACGAAGAGGAATAGTGAAAAAGCAAATCTGTTTCAACTGATGGGAACCCTATAGCTATAGAACTTGGGGGCTATCTCCTATGCCCCTGGACAGGACAGTTGACTGGGGACAGGAGAAGTGCTCAATCTTCATGAGACAAAGGGGCCCGATAGGGCCAGCAGCCACAAGGACTTGACCTGCCGAGTCAGCACGCCCCATCTCTCTGCACAGCTGTGCCCTAAACCCAACTCACGTTTCTGTGTGTCTTAGGCCAGTATCCCAAACCTCTTCCACGTCACTGTTCTTTCCACCCATTCTTCCTTTGCATCTTGAGCAGTTATCCAACTAGGATCTGCCAAGTGGATACTGGGGTGCCACTCCCCTAAGAAAAGACTGAGCCAGGAACTACAATCTCCCCCCACATTCCTCCCAGCCTGGACCTGAGAGGGGCTCTCTCTTCGCCCACTGTGTCTGGACTTTGGGCGGGCTTCTGCCCCTCACATTGGCTTTTTGCTGCCAGCCATCAGGTGGGGGATTAGAGCCTGGTGTGAGTGTGCCAGACTCTTCCGGTTTCCAAAGTTCGTGCCTGGTAACCCAAACCTGTGAGTCTCTTCTGCATGCAGGGGATTCTCATGGCCAGTTGGTCACTCCCTAGAGAAGCTGGGCCTTCATGGACACATGGAACTAAGCCTCCCAAATGGGAGGTCTGGCTGGGCCCAGGGTGGGAGACCCTGGGAAGGGAAGCACTGGAGGAAGACGGCACCTCTTCCCCCGTGGCAGGGTGCAAGGTAGGCAGGTTTGGAATGGTGTGGGCGTGGCAATCTAAGCAGGGCTCTCTTTGACTCTAGGCTGGCCTTTGGCCGACTGCCTGCTCACCCAGAGACCTTGGACTCCAGGCTATCCATGGCTCTGGGTCTAAGTGCTGCCCACTCCCACACTCACACCCACAGAAGAGACCCACAGAAGGTCTCTCCCACCCGCTTTAGACTCGTGCCTCACTCCAGCAGTGGTGAAGATCCTCTGTCTTTCCCACGACTGCCAGGAGATAGGGAAGCCCAGCCAGCACTGACCCTCCTTCCTCCAGCCTGCCCCGACCCACCTGGCAAAGCAGGGCACGTGGGGAGGAAGAGACTGGAACCTTTCTCTGACAGCCAGGCCTAGACAGACAGGCCTGGGGACACGGGCCCCATACGGGGAGGAAGGCAGGCTCACGAGGTCCAGGGAGGCCCTTTTCTGATCATGCCTCTTCTCTCTCACCCCATCTCCCCCCCACCACCTCTGTGGCCTCCATGGTACCCCCACAGGGCTGGCCTCCCCTAGAGGGTGGGCCTCAACCACCCTGCTCCCACCACCCAGCGCTTAGCGAGACAGGGCTGCCACAGCAACCGCCAAGCCCCCCTTAAGGTGGGACAGTACCCCGGACCCATCCACTCACCCCTGAGAGGGCTCCGGCCCAGGATGGGAACCTCAGAGAAGAGCTCTAAGGAGAAGAAACCCCATAGCATCAGAGAGGACACGTCTGGCTTCCAAGAGAAAGGAGGCTCCGTTTTGCAAAGTGGAGGAGGGACGAGGGACGGGGGTTTCACCAACCAGCAACCTGGGCCTTGTACTGTCTGTGTTTTTAAAACCACTAAAGTGCAAGAATTATGTTGCACTGTTTCTCCACTTTTTATTTTCTCTTAGGCTTTTGTTTCTATTTTAAAACATATTTTCTTGGTTTTCTAATGGAGTATATAGTTTAGTCATTTCACAGACTCTGGCCTCCTCTCCTGAAATCCTTTTGGATGGGGAAAGGGAAGGTGGGGTGGTCCGAGGGGAAGGGGACCCCAGCCTCCCTGTGCCCGCTCACCCCACTCCACCGGTCCCCAGTCACCAGCCGGAGTCTCCTCTCCACTGCCACTGTCACACAGTAGCCCACATGGATAGCACAGTTGTCAGACAAGATTCCTTCAGATTCCGAGTTGCCTACCGGTTGTTTGTTGTTGTTGTTGTTTTGTTTTGTTTTGTTTTGTTTTGAAGACAGCAATAACCACAGTACATATTACTGTAGTTCTCTGTAGTTTTACATACATTCATACCATAACTCTGTTCTCTCCTCTTTTTTGGTTTCAACTTTAAAAACAAAAATAAATGATGATAATCTTTACTGGTGAAAAGGATGGAAAAATAAATCAACAAATACAACCAGTTTGTGAGAAAGAAAAAAAAAAGCAGAAAAAAAACCGAAAAAACCATCTGAATGCGGAAGAGCTTAAGCTCGGCTCCTGTTTAGCATTTTGTACTTAAGGAAATAAAACACCAACAAAGGATCTCACATTTTCTTAAAAAGCGAAGATTGCTGTATACTATTTATTCAACGTATAATTTATGTTACTCCTTGATCTTTGTCTTTTGTCATGACAAAGCATTTATTTAATAAAGTTATGCATTCAGTTAGCCTACGTCGGCTTCCTCCGAGGGCTCAGGGAAGGCAGGCAGCAGGGGAGGCGAGCCCCCGATTCTCCTCGGGCCATAGCCGGGAGGGGATGGAGAAAGGCCCCCGGCGGGATCAGGGCTGAGCGACTGCTCCGTCCAGAGAGAACCCCCCATCCCCCATCCCCCAAGACAAGCCCTCGCACTGAAGCTCCAGTGGCCCCTTCCCCATCCGTTGGAAAGCCACCACAGTCGCGGAACCCAGGGCAGCCTACATCACCTCCTCAGGCCTCCATTTCCTTGTGGGTAAAATCTCATAGAGCTGCTGTGAGGATTCAGCCAGTTAATGTCCCCAAAGCCCTGAGAACTGGGAACATTCAGCGCGTGTTCCCCTACTGTTCTATTAACGATTATTACCATCTTTCCATCTCAGCCCTTGCTATGAAGTCAAGTGGCCTTCATCCACCCTTAGACAAATGAGAAGTTTCTGCTCCTTGGAGAAGATTTTAAGGAAGGCATTTCCAGAATGTTCCTCAATCCCTCCTCCCACTGCCTTGTAAACTTATAACTCCTGGGAACCTCTGGCCAAGATAAACTCTCCCTCTGGTTCCTACCCAACCTCCACCGCTGTCTGTGCCCAGTGAAGAGGAAAACCCAAGATGGCACCCCTGATGTCAACCCTTGGGCACTGAAGAGCACAGTTCTTGCACCCTCCGACCTTCTGCTGCCTCACCCTGTTGCTTTCCTCCCTCCTAGGCCCCTTCGTCCCGAGGCTCTTCCCCTACGGCTCCTCCCGGTTCACAGAGCTGCACAGCACACGGCCCGTTAGGCACCCCACTGACCGCACCCCCCAGAGCCTCAGGTCCGGGAGCACAGAGGGGAGACGGAGGCGGTGGCATCCTCACTCTGCCCAGCTCAATGGCTGAGGCTGCCCAGAAACCATGTGTCCCGTCCTGTCCTAGTCACAGGACAAGTGGAGTCACCGGGAGGTCCCTGCCTTGCCAGTGGCCTGATTTGCCACCAGGCACACCTCCTTCTGGGGTGGCTGAGCCACTTGCCTGACACCTGTCAGCACCAGGTCCCTCAGGTTCACAGAGTAGTCTATCCAGCCAAAGAGCACGGCGTTTGGACGCCTGTCACTCAGCCCGCCCTGTAGTCACCTGGGAAGCCAGGGAGGTTCCCATGCCGCTCTCTCAGGCTACCGGGGCCCAGCAGTGGAGGTAGAGGAGGAGGAGGTGGAGGATGCATTAGGAGGTGCACAGAGGGAACAGGCACCTTCTCTGCTTTCCTTTCCAGGGGTGCCTCGAGTAGGGGGACAGCAAGAGGAACTACAGGAAAGCCTCCCATGTGGCACCTCCTGCCCCCAGACTGTCTCCTGGCTTCTCCAGGGGAAGCTGCTCACCCTACTATTGCACGCACACTGCCTGGAGCAGGTGCCAGCCAGGATCCTTCTCCCCATTGCTCCTCCCCGGAGGCTGTCACACCCCGCCCCCTGCACAACCCTATCCCTCTCCACTGTAGTCCTCTCTTCCCCTTTCATCTCCTCCTACACATATAACCCACATCTGTGAATCCCTGCTCACAGCCCGTGGCCATCAAGGATTATGGCTCTGGACGGACTACTCCACCCCTGTCCCCCCACCACCCTGCACCACCCGTGCTCAGTGGGACAACCCACACAGCCCCTTAGCGACAGCACCATTCCCCTGGGGTCCTCGCGGTTCAGCAGCCCAGAAACTCTGTCTCCCTCCCTCTCCCCAGTGGTATGCTGCTGGTCCCAGCGCTGCGACACACCATCTGCCTTTCCCTCCATCCACTTAAGCCACACTCTAAGCTCTGGGACCCCCAAGGTTCCACATTTAAAATCTGAAAACCCCACTCTCCCATTCTAATCGTAGTCTATCACGAGACTGAGAAGAATGAGACAAGAGACCGGAGACGGTTTTACCTAAGAGAGACAGAGAGCCTTTGTTCGCCCCTGCTTGAGTGTTCAATCCATCAGCTCTCTCTAGCTCTGCTGCTTTGCCTAAGGAGACCGAAGCCCACAGCTCCACGCTTGGTGTCAGCTTGTCTTGGGCTCCCCTGCCCTGCAGCACCTCAGCCCTGTCGGGTCGGCACTGTCCCTCCTGCATAGCACTGCTGAGCCCCGCAGGGAAGAGTAACACTATTGGGTGAGCTGACATCCCCCCAGAATCCCCAGGCTCAGAGGGCCCCACATCCTGCCTGGGAAACCTATTAGGGGCCCCAATCGGATTATTTCCCCCACTTTGCCCTCATTTCTCCAATGCATTGTACCACCTTCCCTCATTCCTAGCAAACACCCTTACCTTCTCCCTATCAGAGAAAACCAAGGCCAGCAGGTGAGAACCTTCCCGTCTCCCCATCCCAACCCCTACAAAGCTACCCACAAAACCACCCACCGCACTCTTGTCTCCTCCCCTGCCAGTCCTCCTCTATTCCCAAAGACAGCCGCTTCCTGTGCGCTCCCCACCTGCTGGTCGGCCCCCCACCCATCAACCATCCCATCTCCCCTGTGTTGGTGACAGAGGAAAGGGGGAGGGAATAGAGATGAACCATGGCCTGCAGACAGAACTGATGGACCTGCTCAAGAATTGACATCGGATGAGAACGAGGGAAAGTCGGGGTGTCTTCTCCACCCAGTGTCCCTCAAGCAACTCAAATACAATTTGTTCCATGTTGAACTCATCCTGTAAGCTCAGGCACTTGGCCTCTCTTATCATTTTATCATATGCCTTACAAAGTAGAAGTTCAGTAACAACACAATTTGAACTCATCATCTTCCCCACTAAGCCATCCCTCTTCCTTCTCTTAATTCTTCTTTAGCCCCCTCCTCTTCTTCCCCGTTCTTCCTTCTCCTCCTATTTGCTGTCTCAGAGAACGACACTGCATCCACCGAGCTGTCCAAGCCCAACCCCCGGCCTCAGTCCTGCCTCCTCATTTACCCCTTCCATCCGATAAGCCACCAGATGCCAGGAATCAGTGACCTCACAGACCACCCTCACCCTCAGCCCTTCTCTCCATCTCCCTGGCCCTGATTCATTCAAATCATGCTCACTTCTCCCCTGGATCCTTGCAATTCCTCCTGCAGGAATGTTCCACCCACTCCCACTCCATGTCTTGTCCTCCACACTGGACATCACAGTGGCAGTTCACTTTCTTTTTTTTTTTTTTTTTCTTTTTTTGAGATGGAGTTTTGCACTGAGGTGCCATGGCGCAATCTCAGTTCACAGCAACCTCCGCCTCCCGGGTTCAAGCGATTCTCCTGCCTCAGCCTCCCAAGTAGCTGGGATTACAGGCAAGTGCCACCATGCCCAGCTAATTTTGTACTTTTAGTAGAGATGGGGTTTCACCATGTTGGTCGGGCTGGTCTTGAACTCCTGACCTCAAGTGATCCACCCTTCTCGGCCTCCCAAAGTGCTGGGATTATAGGCATGAGCCACTGTGCCCGGCCCAGTTCACTTTCTAAACACCAATCCAATCATGCCCATCCTCTGCCTAACTTCCTTTCTTGGTACTTAACTTTTGGTCCAGAGTTCAAATCCCTCAGCAACACACCCCAAGTCGTTCCTGATGTGCCCTGGCTTCCTCTTCCTCTCGCTCCTCTTCCACCTGCCGCCTCCCTTCACCACACGTATCCCCAGCCATGCGCTGGTGTCCAGGGTCATCGTTCATCGTTCAGTCATGACTTGAAGGTTTTGCAGGCCAGGCATGGTGGTGCACTCCTGTAATCCCAGCATTTTAGGAGGCCAAAGTGGGAGGATCACGTGAACCCAGGAGTTCGAGACCAGCCTGGGCAACATAGTGAGACCCCCTGTCTCTACAAAATAAAAATTAGCCAGGCATGGTGGGGCATACCTATAGTGCTAGCTACTTGGGAGGATGAGGTAGGTAGGAGGATTGCTTAAGCCCAGGAGCTCAAAGCTGCAGTGGGCTATGACCATGCCACTGCACTCTAGCCTGTGCAACAGAGTAAGACCCTGTCTCTAAAAATAAATAAATACAGACATGAAAATAAGATAAAGTCTCTGCACATGCTGCTCTCTCTGTCTGAACCCCAGCCCCCAACACCCACACCTGCACACACATGCATGTGTGATGCACACACGTCCTCCCGCTCCTCTCCCCAATCTCAGCTTCTTCCTTCCAACTCTGCCTTCACCCTCTCTGAGACACCTTCCCTGACACCAGACTTAACTATTCCTCCTAACTGCCCGACATCCCCTGCTGGAGGGGTACCGCCATCCATGGAGGGCCATCTCTGGGTTTCAGGGCTGTTTCCTTCCACATGAATCTCAGTCCTTCAGGACAAAGGCCGTAATCTTCTTCATCTCCATCATCTTCATAGCCTGACATCCTAACACTGAGCCCGGGATACAGTGAGAGCTAGTGTGTGTGTGTGTGTGTGTGTGTAAATACAGTCTCACTCTGTTGTCTAGGCTGGAGTGCAGTGGTGCAATCTCAGCTCACTGCAACCTCCACCTCCCAGGTTCAAGTGATTCTCCTGCCTCAGCCTCCCAAGTAGCTGGGACTAAAGGTGCCCGCCACCGCATCCAGCTAATTTGTGTGTGTGTGTGTGTGTGTGTGTGTGTGTGTTTAGTAGAGACGGGGTTTCATCATGTTGGCCAGGATGGTCTTGAACTCCTGACCTCAGGTGATGCACCCGCCTTGGCCTCCCAAAGTGCTGGGATTACAGGTGAAAGCCACCATGCCAGGCCGAGAGCTATATTTAGGCAGCACTTACCATGTGACAGAAATGATTTTATATTCTCAAAGCCAATCTTTGAGATAGAAACTATCCCAATATTTAAAGAGGAAGTAAATGAGATTCACAGAGATTAGAAATATGTCCAAAAGCACATAACTCAAGAGAGTCCAATTCTGTTCAAAGACCACCTCACCTCCACGGTCACGCTTTTAACCACCACATCTTATTATGTAGCTAGTATTCAGGACACATCGAACAGATTCAGGGACGACAGTGGTGACTGTCCAAATATAGAGGG